CGCATTAAAATCCGATTCTCAGCTATTTTGAACTCCTATGTATGAGTATTTCATAAAACTCTTTAGAATTTTATATGGGAATGGGCATTGTAAGCAGGTTCATTCTTAAACCTTCTTGTGAGGATCTTGAAAAGCCATTATGTTGAATCTGGTCCTCACCGCGCTAACCACTCTGGTGATTTCGTGCCAGACTAATTAACGATTAATTAGACTTTTTTTTCTTGCCGGTACCGTGATTGTTCTCGTTGACTTGAACTTGTGACTTTACTGACTTGTTCAGGAATTAAATCGATTATATATATATATATATATATATATATATATATATATATATATATATATATATATATATATATATGTATGTATTAATAGATTTTATTATTTAATCCGACATAATTTTATTTATAGTGGATACTTGTATTTGTATAGGATCTACAGATATACATAAAAAATATTTTGATGCAATAAATATATATGTATGTAGATATCTATCTACATAGATATATACTTATTACATCAAAACTTTTTAGATGCTAGACAGAGATAGATATGGAAAACATGAAATAGATAGATAGATAGATAGATAGATAGATAGATTCTGTTTATACGCCCTTTTCAACCTCATTCTGTAATATAGATTGTTTCTTTTGTCTAGAAATGAACAGACTGCTATAAATATTCATAGATAGATAGATAGATAGATAGGTAGATAGATAGATAGATAGATAGATAGATAGATAGATAGGTAGATAGATAGTGAATTGACTGAGATAGATAGATAGATAGATAGATAGATAGATAGATAGATAGATAGATAGATAGGTTCTGTTTATACGCCCCTTTCAACCTCATTCTGTAATATAGATTGTTTCTTTTGTCTAGAAATGAACAGACTGCTATAAATATTCATAGATAGATAGATAGATAGATAGATAGATAGATAGATAGTGAATTGTTAGCGTCTAACCATGTTTGAGCAGATAGCTCCGTTCTTTATTTTTATTTTTCAATATTCTTTTTTTTTAACCAGTATATGTATTGTCGTTTGCCGGCCTGAATATTCGAGAAATCTTATTAAAGAAAAATATTCAGGCCGGTGTGTTCGTACCAACGAAACAACTAAAGGACGATAGATAGATAGATAGATAGATAGATAGATAGATCTATTTCCCTCATTTTTTGCTGTTTCTTTTTTTTTCTTCTGTCTGTTTCCCATTGTTCTCTACTTATTTTGATCCGGATTACATCGTGTCGGCTCCACGTTAACAACATCTGTGACATGTGTCCAGGAGGCAACGTTTGTCAGTAGCCAGTTACAAGATGTGGATATCCATACTTGAAACAGGTTCCTCTCCCACTGACACATCGCTTCAGTTTCCCACTCCCTTTTCGTCGACAGTGACAGCAGAGGAGATGGGGTTGAAAAGGAGTGGTTGGTTACACTTTGCTGCGTTTGTGACGCATTTCCGGAAGTGACGATGTCGAGACGCGCAGTCATACACATTTGTGTGCGTGATATGCCCGGAACATGGAACACTTGAGACGGATATATAGAATAGAGTCTATTCAAACTTCTTCATATCTATCTATCTATCTATCTATCTATCTATCTATCTATCTATCTATCTTAATCTGTTATTAACTCAGTATGTTCGAATCTAATGACTTCAGATTGTTGATTTATCTCTCTCTCTGTCTGTGTTTCTCTCTCAGACTCTCTCTCTCTCTCTCTCTCTCTATATATATATATATATATATATATATATATATATATATATATAGAATCGACTAAGATATATATATATATATCGACTAAGATATATATATATATATATATATCGACTAAGATATATATATATATATATCGACTAAGATATATATATATATCTTAGTCGATTCATTATCTATTTATGTATCTCCTCTACCTATATATATATATATATATATATATATATATAGCAATCTGTCCATATCTCGAAATCTTATATGTCTCTCTCTCTCTCTTTCTCTCTCTATATATATATATATATATATATATATATATATATATATATATATATAGCAATCTGTCCATATCTCTAAATTTTATATGTTGTCAAAGGCTACGATGAAGACAGAAGATTTTTCACTAGTGTGTAATAAGAAACAGGTGAATAGGAAGTGTAAGAAGTGTTAAATTATGTTAAAATTTAAATAGTAATATGAAATATATGCTATGCTAACAATTATATATATATATATATATATATATATATTCATACGTAAAATTGTTTTACTATAGAAATGCATTGCAAATTATTTTAATGATAGACGTTGATATAACCCATAATGCCATGCGTTTGATTTAATGATTGCGTCAAAACTCATTCTTGCTAATGGTCGCATACACAGTGACACAGCTAATATTAACATTATATACGAGGTTTGTATGGCATTTGAAAACACATATTTAGCGGTACATAAATGGTAAACAACTGAACGTGACATCAGACAACATGCGTCAATTTTTTGTCAATTCTCTTTCATCGCATCGACAGAATTAAAATAGAGGCTTCCAATCCGAAACTGGTAATTTAAAAGCACGATCTACTCGTGTTCCAATCCACCAATCACAGCAACTTAGAGACAGCCAGCTTCTTGAAAATGAGCCGTAACAGAAGGAATAAGTGGCTCAACGTAGACCCCAGCGAGGTACCCATGATCACGCACACTAAATTCATCCGTCCGTATCAGTCCTCTGGGACCTGAGCATGACATGCACTTCATTTCTTCTCACAGCGCTTCAGAATCAATTTCACTGACAATATTAAGGTGTTAGATAGGGTGGTCAAGCTGAGGATTGAGGAGGTAGACATACGTGTTTCAGTAGAACTCTGCGGTCTCTTAGCTATTCTGATTTGATCCCCTGGACTATTAGAACTAGCGCTTCGAAAAGAAGGGGACAAGCAGGCTGCCGCACAATACCAAAGACGCACTCAAAGCTGCTTTCACAGACGTGATAGTCAAAATAATCGCCAATCATTAGACTGGCTTATGCCAACCCTTCCAAGGCCGAATAGATATGGTTTTATTGAATAAAATTTTCTGCTTTTCTTCGTAGCACATTTATCCACTTTTTCCAAAGCTAAGCAGAGTATTAAGAAATAGAAAAACTTCGCTAGAAATAAGAAAAAGCACTAAAATGTTACGTGATATCTGCCCCACCTCGTATGGCAGTGAGTGTTGGACAATCTCCCCAAAGATGAAAAACACACTTGAAGTAGTAGAAATGTGATTCTACAGAAGGATGCTGAGGATACTATGGACCGATTACGGCGAAGTTTTTGAGAAAATAGAAGCCAAAGAAACTTATATTTAACATCAAGATGAAACAGTTAAATTTCTAGGGCACATAATGAGAAAAGAGGGCTTGGAAAATCTGATACTCGCAGGAGAGATGGAAGGTAAGAGGAACAGAGGAAAGCAACACATAACCTACTTAGTGAGCTTCAGTAAATGGATGGCGGGACAGGGTTTAGTAGAAATAACAAAAAGACAAAACTTATTAAGAGCTACAAAGTACAGGAAGTTGTGGAGAGCCATGATCGCTTAAGTTCACATAAAGAAGAATAAGATCACACCAGAGCATCAAAGGATGCGATGAGCGAGGTGACCATTCGACCGCCGAATTCAGATTTGCATGACCACTCAGCTGTATCTGGTTTTGCAAGTTCGGGAAGGAATCATAGTGTATACAGTTGAAAAGATTACCGTCGCAGAAGGGTTTCAGAGAGAGTTAAGCAATGGGCACTGCAGACGTGAGCGTAAGAGTCACGTTTTGCCCGACGAGCGATTGTGTCGCTCACAAACACACGGTCTTGCACTAACGGACGATTATTAGAATAAAATAAAATGTAATGTAAAATATGATGGACTCATGTCTCTTGTTCATTGATTCGGCCGTATTATCACTTATCTGTTATGTCTGGTTCATTAGAATTAATTAAGGTGTAAATATAATAAACGTGCCTTAATTTCTAAATCATCGACAGTAAATTTGCGTTCAGGATCATACAACATATCCCTTACTACCCACAAAAAAAATGGCATAGGTTTCTTTCTTCGAATTTTGATCTATGAAGGAATCTGTTGTAAGCTAGGTAAGTTTACTGAATACAATAAACAAAAGAAGCTTTAATAATGGACGATAATACTTTGGACAAGAACAACACATATAAGATTCGCCAGCGGCGCGTACAAGAAGTGGTCAACTGCTAAAAGTGAGTCAAGTGAATTTCACAATGAATATCCAACTGCAGGATAACTATCAACCACCCCACAGGGTCAGATGTTGCACAAGGCCGAAATTAATGTGGGGTGCCCGTTGCCCGTAGGTTCTGAAAAAATTTCCCGCATATCCCGTATAAAACGGGGTCGGGTAGCTGTTTCCCGAGACGAGACTCTGCCTTTCGACATAGCCTCGTCTGGGGATCCTCTCTGCCCAGAGGCAGAGTGTTTGACCAGCACAGCTGGAGACGAATCTACAACTGCAGACCAACATACAGTATTTACTACTGTATTTATGTGAATGGCGACATACCCATTATCGTCCATAGGTATGCTACAACAGAATTATAATCACCGGACTATATTTTAATTATTATAAGTATAAAGTTATTATTTAACCAGTGATATTTTTTGTTTTGGGGTCTGTTTTATTATATATATATATATATATATATATTCGGAGACGTAGCACTCTTGAATTTGGAATTATTGCTAGTGCTCGCTATGCTACGTCTACAGAGTCGACCTTATTTTCCTCTGTATTTCATTTGTAAAGACTTACTTCCATTCAGACAGCTTTTCTCTTCCTGAGAAAGAAACTCCCGCGTGGATACTTCCTTGAACACTACAATTTTAACCTCTTCAAGTTAACGGTTAACTCCTAGCTATCCCCTTGTTCGACATAATCTTCAATTACTTCTATCTTGTCTCAAACACCTCATTCAAGTTTCATGTTGAAACACCGGTTCTCATACGATCACCGAAGTTAAGCAACGTCGGGCCTGGTCCGTAACTAGATGAGTGATTGTTTGGGAATACTAAAGGCTATAAGCTTGGATGTGCAGTTGGTGTAATGACTAATGGCTTAGAATTGTTAATCGGAATGCCGAGTTCTAATTCCAGTTGGGTTCGTTACATTCACTTATACGCTTGGGAAACGTATGAATCCGCCTCTTCTCCCTTTCACTATGGGTTAATTAGTAAATCTTGTATCATTAAACTATTATTATCTAAAACAATTCTTACAATATAAAAATATTTTCTGGCTTTAAATAACTTGCAAAGGGTTGATAAGTCATAAAAAATGACTCAATCAAACAACGATTAGCTACAAAGACATGTCTTTTAGATTTATTTACATTCTCTGGAGTATGAATGCATAGAAACTGCAGTGGCCACAATGTGAGATTTGTATCACTAAAACCATTATTATCTAAATAAAAAAATAAATTAAAATGAAATGAGTACAAAATACTTACATTTCGTCATTAAATGACCTATAGAGTTTGATATGAGGCTAAACTGTTGTGGTAGGATCCACCTAATTTGCATAGTGGAGTACCGACCATATAAATATGGTTGGTGCCGGGAAGAGAGGGAGGAATCAAGAGATTCAACCAGAGACTCTGTCCGACTGCGACTAAGTCAACACATTCTCCAGGAACGGTCTTCCCAGGAATATACAAAAGACTATATGTAAATATTGTGTACACTTTCTTGTTTCAATACATTTTGTTCTAAGTACATTTTGTGTTGCATTATTATTCCATGCATTAGTCAAGTTTCAACACCAACCAAAGCCTTATTCAGTAACTTCTACAATGATCGATTAATCATTATAAGTGAAGTTTAATTTTAGAAAAATATAGGGCGTTATAACTCAAAAAAGGGATTATCAATGGTCAGAAATTAGTAAAAGTGTTACTGATTTATTATTCATTCCTTGTAATGATTGCATGCGCTGTGACACAGTCAACTTTTCTTAATACGTGCGAACCAAATGTCTGAATTTACGGGATATACATATAATGAAATTTTGTCGTTACACTTTGAAAGTGTTCCCAGCTAGAAAAATGGCGTCGCTATAATGTTTCTGCAATATTAGAAATGTTGCAGAAACCTTCTTACATTTTTTTTTTACTTTTTTTGTAGACTCCCCACAACGTGACCTCAACGTTATCCCCTGACGTTGTAAAAATATAACGTTATATCACCAGAAAAAATCTATATAAATAAAGCGCAGTGTACGTATGTCCGTCCATCAGTCCGTTTTTCGATCTCGATGAATCATAAACAACCTGAAGTAACAGTTAGTAACTACTGTAGTTACATGCAATTAAAAATTAAATAAATAACACATTTAAAGTTAAATTTAAATCTCGAACGGAGTGAAAGGTTTAAAAACAATTCTTTATTAAAGGTTTAACTTTAATTTCACTTTTCGTTGCAGTTGCAATCGATATCGTCTGGTTAAACCGTTATTAAAACTTAAACGGGGCACGGTACGTTGCTCATGTTTTTTTTTTTTTTTCTAACACGTGTACTGCGACGTATTCGAAATATTACATACTTCTTTTAAGGATTCCCGAAGAATGTCTTTTAAAAGTGAAATTTAAAATTACACAAAAGATCAGATAGACCTTCTTGTGGGTTCAATAAAGATAAAATAAAATTTATTATTTCGAAATTCATTAGCCCAATAGGGTAGACTGGCCTTCTAAGCTACTAATTAAAATGAGGAAGATTAGAATCTAATCTATATATATATATATATATATATATATATATATATATATATATATATATATATATATATATCTGGACAAACGTAGTAATAAGAACAGTTAAAAGCGTCAAATAAGGTAAAAGATTAAAATATAAAAATATACTATAAAATCCGAGGTCCTCAATGCGAGATGTTAAAGTCGACAGAACTGTCTACATCCCGTAGATTAAATAAAGGGTTCTTAAATATAAATGATATTATCATAATATTAATTAATGTAATAATCACTGCGATAATGCAATCATCAAAAAACCATCCCAAAAATAAATCAGTCGGTATATTTTATCTGCTGATTGTGTTATCGTATAAAAACTTTCTGAAATAACGGATTGACGAATTTTTTTGTATTATCACCTGATTTAATTACGCAAAGTGGTCCACATCAAACTGTCTTTAAACTACGAAGAATTATCGTTGAACTTTTTATTAATGAATAAATGCAGGGATCAATTTGAATTCAGGTTTTGCAAATCACTGACACACACACACACACATTCAGGTCACATGTACCTCAGTCACAGAAGGGTGTTCAGACACGCAGCGGATAAAAAACAAGCTCTGTCAAAGATATATATATATATATATATATATATATATATATATATATATATATATATATATATATATATATATATATTATATATCCGGTGCGAATAACTAGGTTTTCAAATCACTGACCCTACACACCACACACACACACACACACACATACCTGGTCAGAGGACTGATACGACCATATGACAATGATGATGATGATGATGATATACGCGACTGTTCACCACGGGAATCAGGATGTATGAATATGCTAATGTACACGGCGAACCGCTTTTCGATATCCGCCTCGTCTGTCGCGTTCACTTTCGCGCTAAAAATCTGGGAAATAAATTCCTTCTGTCCCACCCCCACTGCTATGTGTAGATTAGGCTCCCAGGTATTAGCTGATAATCAGTATATATATATATATATATATATATATATATATATATATATATATATATATATACAGTGGGTAGCAAAAGTATTTAGCACATTGGTTTTTCTTACATATCTCAAAAAATAACAAATCAATTTCAATCAAACTTATAGGAAATATTTGAACGAACATTGTCCATCAAAACATAGAAGGAACATTTAAAACCACTGTTTTGAGAAACATTTATTGAAAATAAATAAAATAACCCATATGCAAAAGTATTTAACACACTTTACTAATATTTAGTACAGTAGCCTCTGTTCTGCTTCACAGTCGCCAGTCGTTTCCCGTAGTCTTCAACTAGTTTCTTGCAGGTACTTGTTGGTATTTTGACCCATTCTTCTTCACAAATTTTCTTCAATTTGTTTAAATTCGATGGATTTCTTTTCTGAACTCGTAACTTCAATAGTTTCCATAAATTTTCGATTGGATTTAAATCCAGTGACTGCCTTGGCCATTCCAGGACATTAATGTCATTATTATTAAACCAATTCTTAGTTGTTTTAGCAGTATACATCGGGTCATTGTCTTGCTGAAATACAAAATCACGACCATGTCCCAAAGACGTGGCACTGTTCAAGAGTTGAGTTGACAAAATTTGAGTGTATTTTGCAGCATTCATTGTTCCTTCGATGATTTTCATTTTTCCTACTCCATTTGAGGAAAAACAACTCCGCATCATAATATTTCCACCCCCATGTTTGACTGTAGGGATGGTATTTGCTGGTTCGTATTCCGCTCCTTTTTTCCTCCATACATGAGTGCGCATGTTACGTCCGTAAAGCTCAATTTTTGTTTCGTCTGACCAAATTACTTTCTCCCAGAAATCATTAGATTCAATTTCATATTTCTTTACAAAATTCAAACGTGCTTGTACATGTCGGCGTTTCAGTAATGGGGTCTTTCTCGGTGATCTTGAAGTGAGGCCTGCACGATTCAGTGATCTTTTAATTGTATCTTTACTAACTTCAATTCCGGCATTTTTCAAATCATTCTGAATTTCTCGACGAGTTGAAAATGGATTTTTCTTCACGGGAAATGTATCGCTCATTAGCCTTATTTATGATACGGGGACGACCACATCTTTGAATATTTTCAATAGTATTGAATTCTTTCCATTTTCGAACAACAGCACCAACTGTACTCACAAGCAAATTCAAATCTTGAGCGATTTTTCTATATCCCTTACCATCTTTGTGATTCTTTATGATCTTCTTGCGCATGTCATTCGACAATTCTTTTGTGTTCACCATTTTCTTGCAGTAGTGGCAACAGAATAGCTGCAGTGTCTCAGAGCTGTTATCTAATAGCCAGTTGAGTGTCGTGCAGTTCTGTCATTGGTCGACATATCACATTATATCAATATGGGTAGGAATCATGACGACACGTCTCTTCTAGCATAATATTTGCATTGGTGTTAAATACTTTTGCACATGGGTTATTTTATTTATTGTTAATAAATGTTTCTCAAAACAGTGGTTTTAAATTTTCCTTCTATGTTTTGATCGACAATGTTCGTTTAAATATTTCCTATAACTTTCGTTGAAATTGTTCTGTTATATTTTTAGATATGTAAGAAAAACCAATGTGTTAAATACTTTTGCTACCCACTGTATATGTTTATCCGACACGTAATATCCGACCTAATGGCGAAAGATTTATGATAGGTATTTCAGTTTTAATTGAGAGTTATTCAGTATCGTATTTCAAATCCAGAATGAAACGATCGTCAAAAAACTAGACCTTCTTCTTCTATGCTGTCTATCTCTTCAGGAAGTTGGCGATCAGGGCTCTCCAGATTTGTCTGACCTTTGTAGTTCTTAATATTTTTTTGTTATCTCTCCTAAATCGTGTTCTGCCATCCATTTACTTAATTTCGCTCGTTAAGTTAAGCGTTTTTTCTTCTGTCCCACTTGTCTTCATTCTGTCTTGTGAGTATCAATTTTCCAAGCCCTCTTCCTTCAGTATGTGCCATAGAAATTTCAACAGTTTCATCCTGATGGATAAGTATCCGTTTTGTTTCCATTTTCCTAAACCTTCGTCAATGCTAATATAATCGGTCCATGGTATCCTCAGCATGTAGAACCACATTTCTCTTGTTTATTTTTTTTCATCTATGAGGAGATTGTTCAGCATTCACTGCCATATAGTTGGGCTGATATTATATAACAGTTCAGTACTCTTTTCTTTGGTTTTGAACACGATTTTTCGGTTTCTTAATAATTTGCTTGGCGTTTTGGGGGTATCTTTCGCTATCCCAATGTGTCTTCGGATTTCAGTGTGACA